AGAAGAGATGTTGCCGATGGACAAGAATGGAATGGCATCCGAAGGAGAGGCCGCATCTGACAAAGTAGCCACCGCAGAGATGGAACGGTTCGGTAAGTTCGTGTGAAGGCACGAGAGATAGATTGTGGCATCGCAGGGCCGTGAGAGATAGTGACGGTGTGGTGAGGCCTTCAGCCAGCAGTGGATAGACAATGGCTGATGATGAGAGAACGTAATCAAGATTGGCTTTTGATAGTGTTGATGAAAGAAAGACTTCCATTGTAAAATCACGTAGAATATTTACAACTATATTTGCTTTGACTGGAAATAAGAATTAATGAGACTGCACCAAACCAAATACTAAAATAAAAGCCAGGTACCTTGTGCAAATAATATTCCTGCATTTATATCGGAATGTTTGAGATTATACCAGCCCCCTTTTCTCTCTCTCTCACTCTTTGGACTCAAGCAGTAGATCACATTTGTGATTGCTGAGAGGGTAAAGATTTTAAGAGGGAGGGTGATCATCGCTGAGACGCGATGGGGCCTTGTGAACGATAACACTGCGGGGATATCGTCTGGTCAGGATTATTAGAACGACATATACGATTAACAATTAACTCCACGTGTGTGCATAAATACATAGTTCTCATCGCATCCCAAATGCGTGATTTAACCTCCTCCCGTTCCTCTCTTAAAGCTCACCTCTTCTATGTTGCCCATTCTCTTCCCTCTCGTCGCCCCTCCACTTCTTCCCATCCCCCCCCAATACCCTTTCGTGATCCCCACACATGTGTAGCCCTCTATCGCTGTCACTCATTCCTCAATCCTTGTACCCCCCCCCCACCCCCACCGCTGCAATCTAAATCATTTATTCGGTCACCTTTTTGGAAGCTGTGTCAAGCGCCTTGATTGAAGGCGCTCTCTCTATAAATTAGATTATCGGGTGCATTGGGATCTTCGGATACAATGCGCCTTACACAATTTAGTTGTTATTATTATCATAATAATACGCTTCCCTGAACGTGAGTGACACAGACACATTTTTTTTTAAGGATAGTCGTTTCGTCGGATCGGTTTTACAAACTTATGTTTTTTTTCGTACCAAAAATAAAAAAAAACAGCACTTATTCGAGTCGAGAGACAAACCTGAAAATCCAGTGTATGACGTGAGGATTCAAACACTGAGGTTTTATTTTTTTTACTGGAAATATCGACTCGACATTCGAACGCGTGTAAAAACCTCCCCCGTGTCCGTCTGAGAGTCACGGCGTTCGGGTGATTTCCATTCCACCGAGACCTGAGCAAAAGCGCTCCACTCACTGTGATCTGAGGACGCCAGGTGACCTGCGGTATGGACGATGAGAAATGTACGCACGAGCCGTGCATGGCCCTTGACGGATGTCACACAAAAAAAAAAAACGTGACATTTTTTTTCACCGTGCAAAAACTTACGGGGGGGGGGTTTGTTTTCTTTAACAAATGCCTCAACGCTCTCTGTTCCCATTGCTCTAAGTTTATGATTTGAGATTTGTAATTCATGTTGCAAAGTGAAGGAAAACATCTGGCTGACGAAGGTGAGTGAGTGGTGCAGAACCGTGCCCGAAGAGTCTTCGAAGTCACTCGCGCAATGCAGTTTAATGCAGACGGTAGTTTTTGAATTTGATTAACCCCGTCCAGGCTTTATATTGGTAGACGAATATAGAGTCTCGACAGGTAAAACACGCTACTCGCGTATCAGACATTAAACATGAATGCACGTGTGTGTGTGTGTGGGCGCATGGTGGGGAGCGGTAGTGTAGCGGTTAGCGCGCTGCGCTATGAACCTGGCGACCCGGGTCCGATGCCCGCTCACGGCCAACACCAGTGATGATTATCTGAACCAGTCCCGGGCATCCCCTAGGTCGACTCAGCCTCAAATGAGTACCTGGTGCGGTGTGTAAACATTGCCACTAGGGATACAAAGGCGGTCAGGCGTGGTGCTGGCCACCCACCCCCTCGTGTACCGTTCCGGCCTTCATAGGTGCTCGCTAACAGCACTTGCTCCAAAAGCCTGTTTAGGTTATATGGGGGATCTTTGTCTTTTGTGCGTGCGCGCGAGTACCTGGCGCGATGGGCCTCCCCTAGGTTGACTCAGCCTTTTAAATGAGTACCTAGCGCGGTGTGTAAACATTGCCACGAGGGAAACAAAGGCGGACAGGGCGTAGTGTTGGTCACCCACCCCCCTCGTGGGCCCTTACAGGGCCTTCGCGGGTGCTCCTCGCTAACGGAGCATCCCTCAGCGGTCTGTTGAAGGCCCCGTGACGGGCCAATCTGTGTACGCTGCGTCGCTCACGGAGACAAAACGACGGTGGCCGCACGCAGTCGCCAGCCACCGTGCGTCCCGGTGAGTGATCGGAGCGAGCAGCGGGCCAGCGCGACGACGATGATGACGACGATGATAACGACGACGATGATGACCACGACGACGATGATGACGATGACGACGACGATGATGACGACGACGATGATGACCACGACGACGATGACGACGACGATGATGACGATGATGACGACGACGATGTCACGCGAAGTTGGAGCCACGCGCGACCGCGCTGCGCATGAGCCCCCCCCCCCTCCACCCCGGGAGGGCGGGAGGCAGTGCCCGGATTAACCCCGTAGCAAAAGTAGCTACATATGTAGCAGCTACTACTACTTATGTAGCAGCTACTACTACACATGTAGCAGCTACTACTACACATGTAGCAGCTACTACTACACATGTAGCAGCTACTACTACTCATGTAGCAACTACTACTACATATGTAGCAGCTACTACTACTTGTGTAGCAGCTACTACTACTTGTGTAGCAGCTACTACTACTTGTGTAGCAGCTACTACTACTACTACATATGCAGTATCTAGTAGTAGCTACACATATGTAGCAGCTACTGCTACTTGTGTAGCAGCTACTACTAATTGTGTAGCTACTACTACTACATATGTAGTATCTTGTAGTAGCTACACATATGTAGCAGCTACTACTACTATTAATGTACTACTACTTACGTAGTAGCTACTACTACAATATATGTAGTATGTCGTCGTAGTAGCTACGGGCCCCGCACTTTCAAGGGCCCCGCGCTAAATGCTTTCAAGCTATCAATTCCGGTTCAGTGATTCTGCACTTGCTCTGTTACTATAGTACTATACCGTCTTCAACTTTTATGAACGATTGGGTGTTTAAGTTAGGCTGTATAGCAAATGAAAAAAAAACAATTACTTCACTATGCAAGTTACAAATGTATATGTAATTAATATTTCCGTGTTTTTATTTTATTTAGGGCCCGTTGATAACATATTCTACAGACCCCGCACTAGCTTAATCCGGCACTGGCGGGAGGGCCTCTTTGTCAGGACTCGGGAACGTTTAACCCCCAACATCAATGAGGGTGCTCATTGGTTTTTCGGTAAAGTCACGTATGTAGAAATACAATAAAATTATATTAAAACAAAAAACAATCACGACGTTTCGATCACAACGCAAGCGATCTTCATCGGGTGTCAATAACAAATCACGGAGGTAAATACAACAAAAAGATGAGAGACGAGAATTCAACAAACCTGAAAAAAACATTATGTGAAGCACATCCAGTCAGGCCAACAACACAGTTAGACACTTCCTGGCGGACCACGAGGGTGCTCAACTTCAGCGCCCGCGTGCGTTGAACGCGAGCGTAGCGGGGGGTGAAGGGTTCGAGTTGGGGGATAGCGTCCGAGGTGGGGGTATCGTTCGTGATCGGGCTCGATATTCATGTTAGAGGTGGACTGCGGTTTTCGGTTTCGGCTTATGGCAGGGGATATTGTCTAAGGCGAGGCATCAGGATAGAGTTAGGGTATAGGACTACAGAAAGGATTACGATTAGGGATATGGATGGGGCTGTGTTTATCTTATTGTTAGAGGCTAGGGTCAAAGCCCAGATTAGGGATCGGAAGAGAATAATATTGGTCGCGAAAGCCTACGTGTTAAACTGATCGGAACATAATTAGTCTAAAGTTATACATGGGGGTTATGGTCAGACCTGAGGATAGTGTTAGTTTTACGGTTACAACTATCTCACAGAGTTCATGGATAAGGGTCGGGTCAGGACTAAAGCCCGTACTAGAACGAGTGTTGGCACTTAGTCTCCTGTTAGATCTTAAAATCGCTGCTCGAGGTTCAAGTGTAAGACACTGGCTGAACACTCGGATCAGAGTTGACCCACGCATAGAACACAGCGGAACGCGGAGGCTTGTAACCAACAGCGAGATTACCATCAGGCCCTCTTTTCCCAACACTGGAATCGTCTGTCTCATCCACCGTTACGTAACTCTCCCCTCGCAGCCAGGCTCCGTTAGCAACTCCACACGCAGGCACGGACGGGAATGGAACTCTTGCCCGAGTGCGCAAACTGCTAATTAAGCTCCCCCTTATTGCCAGGCGTCAATAAATTCTGCTCCCTCTCCGCCTCTCTCTCTCGCTCTCTCGGTAGGAGGAAGAGAGAGGGTGGGATGAGTGATCGAGTGAGTAGTGCTTGTGTCGCTTTGCGTCCGCCAGAGGGGAGGAGAGCGCATAGAAATCCACGGGGGCTCCGTCGTGTTCGCGATTAAATCAGAGCCTTTTGCGAGCGCTGGCTCGAGGGAGAGACAGTTGGAGAGCGATTCGGAGGGAATAAGGAGGCCCGGACAGAATCAGACGAACAGTGAAACGCGCACACACAGATCGCGACTGCCTGTCGCGCAATCGCACCCAGCGCGCACCGCGATCCGACTCAGATCGCTAATCTGCGATCGCAGTGACATTCCACAATCACAAGTGAAGGGGTATCTAGCGGTGGCATCTCTCGTGGGGACTTCGACTCTCGCAGAAGCCGCGCGCAGACAATAGCCGCCGATTTCCTGCGGCTCGCCGTTTGATCTCCGGCAGGGTCGGACGATGCATGGGGGAGTGGGGGGGGGGTGTGGGGTTACCGGGTGATCCCGATCGGGTCCCCTCGCTCACCTGCTGCTCGCTCCACTCGAATGTCACGCCGTCTCCTCTCGCCGACCGATTTACTTCTCAACGCCTTGCCCGGAGCCCGCCACGCCAAACCACCCGCTGGGAGATGGAGCGCGGAAGAAGACCCCCCCCCCCCCCCCGAGACGATCGCGCGCCTTCACAGGCACCCACCCCCTCGCCGCCAACCTCCTTCAGTGCCCGGCGTGGTTCACAACTCCAGCGGCGGCTCCCCTCCGGTGGTGCGCGCGAGAGAGCGGTGTGCCCTGGGAGCCGTGCGTGGCGCGCTCGAGCCAGGCACGAGAGGAGCTGCTGCTGCTGTTGCTGTCTTCGCCCGCCTCCACCACGCCCCGCATGCAAATAACAAATAGCCGTACCTGTGGCAGCGCTCCTCCCAACCCTCTCTCCCCCTCTCCCTCCTGTCTTATAACAGCCCCCCCCCCTTCTCCCTCAATCTCTTTCATCCCTATCCGTAGATCTATCCTTTCAATCCCCCCCCCCCCCCCCATTACACCGTCACTCCGTACTTAATCCTTCCCATCACTCCGTCTTTCTACCCCACCCATTGCCCTCGCAGTGCCATGTTTTACAAGCAAATGTACTTTAAACTACAAATGAAGCCTTTGCACGTTGCACGAGCCGTAAAGAGCGCAGACGCGAATGAAGAACGCGGTCTATGTAAACTATTGGGGCAAGTGCTGTTAGCGAGCACATATGAAGGCCGGCACGGCACACGAGCGGGTGGGATGGCCGACACCACACCCGACCGCCTTTGTCTCCCCAGTGGCGATGTTTACACACCGCACCAGGGTACTCATTTGAGGCTGAGTCGATCTAGGAGAGGCCTAGGATCTAGACCGGTTGAAATCATATTTGACTGGAGTTGGCCGTGAGCGGGAATCGAACTCGGGTGGCCGAGCTCGCTAACCGCTACACCACCGCTCCCCACCGCGTGGGAGAGACACACACAGGGAGACGTGTGCACATTCAAGAGCGCGATCTCGATCTGAATCAGCACCCCCCCCCTCTCTCTCTCTTCCGACACATTGATTTACCTATGGCGCGTGCAACGACCTAATTTGTATTTCGTAACTCAAACTCGTTATTAGCTTCCTTGTGGAGAATATTAAGAACGTAAAAAAGCAGACACTGTTTCCTTCATGCATATGCGTCTCTCCGCGTTAAGCAAATACTAATACAGCCCATCATCCGTACGGCCTTCTGGGTTGGGTTAATGTGTGATGAGTGCGAGGTGAGCGCGAAGTGGAGTGATTGTGTGTGGTGTGTGTGTATGTGCGTGAGGATTTTGGTGAGTGTGCGGCAAAAGCTGGGGCCAGGATGGGTAAGTGTGGGGTGAGGGAGTCGTGACGATGCGGTGAGTGTAGAGTAAGGGGAGAGTAAGTAAGGATTTAGGTGGGGTGTATATATGGTGAACTTCTTTCGCACCGTACGTAGCCAACCGTGCTAATCGGAGGTGCTGTGGAAGGACAACGAACTAAACACAATGAAGCGTATATGGCAGAAATGTGTCCAGGAACGCAATGGGCAAGGTCGAGATCTGCTGGCCACGACGAGCGGGCTTGAGGAGAGAGATCGCGTCGCTTCGCTGGGTCACTGTAGGGTCCATTGATTCCAGGACAAGCAGAACCCTGGACCGGTTTCGACATCTGTGAATAAGAGCTTCATAGCTCATCGGATTCCTCATTCGGGTCTCAATCAAGGTTCCGACTCTGATTGAATCAACACTTCCACCCGGCGCCTCCGATGACCAACGGTTGGCTACGTACGGTGCGAAAGAAGTACAACAGACGTACATGCTTCCGATTTTACATGCCAGTACCATCGATTGTATTTGATCGGAGAAGACTGGCAAACATGGAGAGGCGGCTGCACGTGGGTGTGGCGGTGGTGGTGGTGGTTGAGAAGCGAGGAATGATTATCGCCAGTTATCGCCAGTCCCCGAGTATCCTTCTCCACTGCCCCGAGACTCTGAATGCAATACACCGGTAAACGCTTGTTACGCGCGGTGGCACACCTATGTGGACAGGTGAGAGTGACCGACAGGGTGGAGGGGGTGGAGAATGTGGAGGGGTGGGGGGATTTGGGGTGAAGGTGGCCTCTGTTCGTGTGACAGCTTCTGTCGCCTCTTGATTTGTGTAATAGAAAGTGATGTGTGTCCCCCCCCCCCCCCCCCCCCACATTGCCTTCAGTGCGACAAGCAGCAGCAGACATTCTCCATCCACGGCTGGATGAGGATCACACGTGCTTTCAGTTGCTTTGTAGTGATAGATATATACACACGCTGTATATTTAGAAATACAAAATACAATAATTCGACCCATATTTCACCACGCTGGTCAGCGCAGGTTTGTAGAGAGAGGCTTTAAATACGAGTCGCCACGGACGACGTTTCGCCCGTGACCGGGAATCGAATTGAGGTCACGGCGCAGTGCACTCGGTCTGATAGGACATTTGTCCAATCTTGATGTGAATCTTAATTTGAAGCTTTCGTGACTGCAGGAATACATACCCTTTGGTTATTTCGGTAAAGTCACGTAGGTAGAAAAATAAAACAAAAAAATATTATATCACGTCGCTATATATTATTTGTTTTGTTTTATATCACGTCGTGAAACAATATTTTTTGTTTTACTTTTCTACCTACGTGACTTTACCGAAAGAACCAAAGAGTAAGGACATTTTGTACTTGGTGCACGTTCACGGAATGATGGGCCCCGTGGACGCTGACGAAGCCTCAGCGACGACGCAATGCACGACGCTTGTTTGAACTGAGCTCATTGCCCTGCTGCTGAACGTGACCGTGGCGCTGCTGTGGCTGGCGAAAGTGGTGGCGCGGTGCCCAAACAACGGAAGCCTCGAACGCATCCGTCAAGTAACACCACGTGCTGTGAACAAGAATGAAAGGCAACTCGTCCGATCCGCCATCGATGAGATGTAAACATATCTATCTCTCTCTATATATATAAACACACGGTAGAGTAATACGTCGGGGATGCGTTCCTCAGAGGTGCGACGACGAATATCGAAGCGACGTCAATCAAAGCGATGTACAGGGGCAAGGTGGTGCATGAGAAGGCCGAGAGGCGACGTGTAACGAGAAAGGACGCACGATGCTGTCAGCGACGTAGGTGTGAGTTTGAGGCGACGAAAATCAGGTCGTGGTATTCATAAGGCGACGACGTATTTGCGAAACGACGTCAAAGGGGGAGACGTAAATCAGGTGTATTCCTGCGTGTGTATATATGTACGTGTCACATGGGGAGCGATAGTGTAGCGGTTAGCGCGCGGCGCTATGAACCTGGCGACCCAGGTTCGATTCCCGCTCACGGCCAACACCAGTGACGATTATCTGAACCGGTCCCATGCCTCCCCTAGGTCGACTCAGCCTCAAATGAGTACCTGGTGCGGTGTGTAAACATCGCCACTAGGGAGACAAAGGCGGTCGGGCGTGGTGCTGGCCACCCACCCCATCGTGTACCGTTCCGGCCTTCATAGGTGCTCGCTAACAGCACTTGCCCCTACAGTCTGTTAAGGCTATATGGGGGATCTTTGTTTATCTTAATCTTTGTGTCACATTACAGTTGAAGGCAAAGCTATTGAGGGATGTGTTCACGTTTGTTATTGCCCAGCTGTTGGGGTCCCTAAAGCCACGCGCCTCTGTCGTGCCGTGAAAATGAATGTCCCTTGAAAGTCAAACGTAGTGTCTCACAAATACATGCACGCACACACAGTAAATATGTTGAACTTCTTTCACACCGTACGTAACCAACCGTGCTAATCGGAGGTGCGGGGCAAGGACACCAAGCTAAACACAAATAGCAGTTCTATAAAGGAATTAGTTTTGAATCTAGATGATGATTTAAAAGGTGCATAGATCCAGTGGCGTACTAATATCGGAAGAGCGTTCCAGACGGCCGCGGAAGCGCATCTGAAAGCGCGCGATGCATTGATCGCCTTTGTTCGATGGCTCGCAGCCAAAAGCCGCTGGCGAGGATGACACGAGTTCGGGTGATGGTGGTTTATGCTCCTTGATGTACAACAAAGACAAATATCCCCCCGTAATCGCCTCCGACAGACTTTTGGGGCAGGTGTTATTTTTGTTAATGCACAAACGCTGTTTAACACGGCAATTCGAACGCAGCTTTTATTCCCCAACTCGGAGTCGCGTCCACCCCGAGTGAACGAATGACCAATGCGATCCACGCACCGTTAAGGGACCGTCAGCATCGTCCCGCGGTGACGGGTGAAAGATCAAATATATTTTGGCCGAATAAGCGCCGTCAAAATCGGACAGAAAACAGCGCGCAAAAAAAAAGTGGGCCACGTTTCATTCCAAACGCTGACCCCCAACGCTTCCGTCAACACGCGACACGCCTGCAGGTCCCCTCGGGGCTCCTGCCCAGCCACCCAGATAGGGGGCCGTCCATAAATGACGTCACGCACCTAGGGGGGGAGGGGGGGGTCAGACATTTGTGACGATGTGTGACGAGAGGGGGGGTGGGTGAGAAATGTGACGTCACGTAAAAATGCGCAACTTTAAATAAATATAGACAACACGTTCTACTTAATTAAATAGACTTTTTAATAAATGTTTTATCCTACAACATCAGGGTGCAGCGCCATATTAAATACGCACTACAATGACAATAGTTTTTAAGGCGATTTGAAGCATGTTTTATTTTTTTGGGGAGGGGGGGGGGCAGAGCTTTGTGACGTCATATTTGAGCGGGGGTCTGACTTTTTGTGACGCCGTGTTACAGGAGGGGGGTCAAAAATCGTCCAAAATCGCGTGACGTCATTTATGACGGCCCCCATATCGCGAGGGGTCAAAACGTTCGCGGATCGTCCGCGCCTCCTTCCCGCGCCGTGCAAAGGGAGTCGCGGCCTCTCCTCTCGGAATGCCGCCGCTGGCGCTGGCGAGGCGAGCGAGCCAGACCCCGTATCTCGCTCTCGGGATCTGCGCTGCGGCTATTTATTATTTAATATCTACGCGTCTTCCTCGGCTGAGATAGGGTGACGCCTCTTGTTATGACTGCCTCGGAAACCTACAAGAGCCTTCTCGGCGGCATTCAAAGTGAGCGGGCGCGCGCGTGCCTGTGTGTGTATTGGTGTGTGTGTGTGTCTGTCTGTATTGGTGTGTGTGTGT